CTGGCGCACAAGGACGGCGGCCTGCTCCATCTGTGACTGTTGCTTGGCCATCGTCTCGACGATCTCCTCCAGCCGCTGGCGCTGCTCGCGCTCGTGGTGCAGCATCTTGGACCACTTGTGACCCTGAGCCTCCGCCGAGGACAGGTAATCGTTGCCGGCGTTGATCATTGCATTCGATGTGATCCGGAAGAGGGTGGCCCGCTCGTTGACGATCTTCGTGCGGCTGGCCAGCGACTCCTCCTCGTTCGTCTCCAGATCGTTGAGCGCCCGCTGCAAGGCGGCGCCGTGCTTGGTGATCAGGTCGTAGCAGGTGCGCATGTTCTCCAGCCGTTCGGTGAGATCCCGGACCACCGAGCTGATCTCCTGGCTGGGCACGACGTGCGCCGTCTCCGTTTCCTCCTCCTCCTCACACTCGAGGACCCGGATGGCCTTGGCCTTGGCCAGCTCCAGGGCGGTGACCCAAGACTGGCGCTCCACCTCGGTGCCGGCCTTGATGTGGAACGTCTGGGTGCCGCCGTTCGAGATGACGAACGTGCACGAGTCCACCGTGTGGATAAGGGCTCCGTGCAGCGATATGGTGCCCCGGCACGTATGGTTTATCTCCGTCTGGTTGCGGTAATAGCTCAGCACGCCTTTGGACAAGACGAACCACCTCCGCTGGTAGCCCTTGATGTAGTTGGTCCACTTTAGCAGCCAGCCCTTCATCTCCGGCAGGCCCTTATCGGCCAGCGCATTGTTAGTGGCGTCCGTCATGGTGGCGCCCGGTTCTGGGATCCGGATGGGCTCCTCCTCCTCCGGACGGATGGAGCACCTGCTACGAGACTGCGAGAATAGCGCCACGTACGATGACTGGCGATTGGGCGATTGGGTTCCGTTCTGCAACTCCGACTTGAAAATCGAACGAGCTATTGGTTATTGGACGGCGACGGTTGATTGCTGGCCAGTTGCTGGCATCGCACAGGGGGCACTTCGCCTCCGGATCACCAACGAGATTCCGATTACGTTCCGGTCGCGAGTACGCGGCGCGTTCACTGCGAATTTCGTTTCGATTCGCTTCCAATTTTCCTGCAGAAAATAAAAAAACTGTGGAAGTTGAGTGCGCGTCTGTGTGCGTGTGTGTCTCTGTGTGTGTTGGCGCAGCTGCAGGTGTGTGCGTTTGGCAGTGTTACCAGGTTTTAGGCGGGCTTCCCTCCTGGCATATCGATTGCATCAGACAATTTGCACCCGGTATCGATACCATCCGATCTGAATATATTTTTAACGGGCTTTTACTTAAAACTACCGTTAGTATAAATAATGAACTATTAAAACTGCACAATTAGATTCCATGCCTTGAGTTATATGATCCCGATTTTGACGTGGGTACCTCTATGAGTTTGTGGTTGAATACTCTAATAATTTAAATTTAAATGTTTATTTTTAACAAGGGTCAAAATTTTCAAAAACTGCCTTCCATATTCCATAACTATTGTTATTGGATTCCGATTAAAACGTGGAATACCTTTATGAAATGGTGGAGACATTTTCTAAAATTCTACAATAAAATCATCTTTGATACGAGGGTCCGGTTTTTTCGTAAAACCAATGGCGCTCAGATGGAACCCAAAACTGAAATTCTATAATCCATAGCTTGAGTAATTGGATAGCGATTTAGAAGTGTGATACCTCTATGAGTTTGTGCTTAAATTCCCTAATAATCTACATTAAAATATTTTTTTAATCGGAGGTCAACATTTTAGTCAATTTTCATGTTCGATTTTTCAGGAATTCCAATGGTTTTCAGAATGGGAACCCAAAACTGCACTTCAAGAACTCATAACTTGGGTATTTGGATCCGATTTAGACGTGGGATGCTCTATGATATTGTGGTTGAATTCTCTAACAATATAAACTAAAATGTATCTCTTCTGCGAGGGTCGAAATTTTAACCCATTTTCATGTTCAATTTTTCGTATTTCCAATGGATTTCAGTATTGGAACCAAAACTGCACTTCAAATCCCATAACTTGGTATTTGGATTCCGATTTAGACGTGGGATGCCTTTATGAATTCGTGGTTGAATTCTCTAACAATATAAATTAATAGGTTTCTTCTCTGCGAAGGTCGAAATTTTAGCCCATTTCATGTTCAATTTTTCGTATTTCCAATGGATGTCAATATGGAACCCAAAACTGCACTTCAAGATCCCATAACTTAGGTATTTGGATTCCGATTTAGACGTGGGATGCCTTTATGAATTCGTGGTTGAATTCTCTAACAATATAGTTAAAAGGTTTCTTCTCTGCGAAGGTCGAAATTTTAACCCATTTTCATGTTCAATTTTTTCGTATTTCCAATGGATGTCAATATTGGAACCCAAAACTGCACTTCAAGATCCCATAACTTGGGTATTTGGATTCCGATTTAGACGTGGGATGCCTTTATGAATTCGTGGTTGAATTCTCTAACAATATAAATTAAAGGTTTCTTCTCTGCGAAGGTCGAAATTTTAGCCCATTTTCATGTTCAATTTTTTCGTATTTCCAATGGATGTCAATATGGAACCCAAAACTGCACTTCAAGATCCCATAACTTAGGTATTTGGATTCCGATTTAGACGTGGGATGCCTTTATGAATTCGTGGTTGAATTCTCTAACAATATGAGTTAAAAGGTTTCTTCTCTGCGAAGGTCGAAATTTTAACCCATTTCATGTTCAATTTTTTCGTATTTCCAATGGATGTCAATATTGGAACCCAAAACTGCACTTCAAGATCGCATAACTTAGGTATTCGGATTCCGATTTAGACGTGGGATGCCTTTATGAATTCGTGGTTGAATTCTCTAACAATATAAGTTAAAAGGTTTCTTGTCTGCGAAGGTCGAATTTTAACCCATTTTCATGTTCAATTTTTTCGTATTTCCTATGGATGTCAATATTGGAACCCAAAACTGCACTTCAAGATCGCATAACTTAGGTATTCGGATTCCGATTTAGACGTGGGATGCCTTTATGAATTCGTGGTTGAATTCTCGAACAATATAATTAAAAGGTTTCTTCCTGCGAGGGTCGAAATTTTAACACATTTCATGTTCAATTTTTTCGTATTTCCAATGGATGTCAATATTGGAACCCAAAACTGCACTTCAAGATCCCATAACTTAGGTATTCGGATTCCGATTTAGACGTGGGATGCCTTTATGAATTCGTGGTTGAATTCTCTAACAATATAAGTTAAAGAGTTTCTTCTCTGCGAAGGTCGAAATTTTAACCCATTTTCATGTTCAATTTTTTCGTATTCATGATTCAAATCCCATAACTTAGGTATTTGGATTCCGATTTAGACGTGGGATGCCTTTATGAACTCGTGGTTGAATTTCTAACAATATAGTTAAAAGGTTTCTTCTCTGCGAAGGTCGAAATTTTAACCTATTTTCATGTTCAGTTTTTTCGTATTTCCAATGGATGTTAATATTGGAACCCAAAACTGCACTTCAAGATCCCATAACTTAGGTATTTGGATTCCGATTTAGAAGTGGGATGCCTTTATGAATTCGTGGTTGAATTTTCTAACAATATTAGTTAAAAGGTTTCTTCTCTGCAAAGGTCGAAATTTTAACCCATTTCATGTTCAATTTTGTCAATATTGGAACCCAAAACTGCACTTCAAGATCCCATAACTTAGGTATTCGGATTCCGATTTAGACGTGGGATGCCTTTATGAATTCGTGGTTGAATTCTCTAACAATCTAACTTAAAAGGTTTCTTCTCTGCGAAGGTCGAAATTTTAACCCATTTTCATGTTCAATTTTTTCGTATTTCCAATGGATGTCAATATTGGAACCCAAAACTGCACTTCAAGATCCCATAACTTAGGTATTCGGATTCCGATTTAGACGTGGGATGCCTTTATGAATTCGTGGTTGAATTCTCTAACAATATAAGTTAAAAGGTTTCTTCTCTGCGAAGGTCGAAATTTTAACCCATTTTCATGTTCAATTTTTTCGAATTTCCAATGGATGTCAATATTGGAACCGAAAACTGCACTTCAAATCCCATAACTTAGGTATTTGGATTCCGATTTAGACGTGGGATGCCTTTATGAATTCGTGGTTGAATTCTCTAACAATATAAGTTAAAAGGTTTCTTCTCTGCAAGGTCGAAATTTTAACCCATTTTCATGTTCAATTTTTTCGTATTTCCAATGGATGTCAATATTGGAACCAAAACTGCACTTCAAGATCTCATAACTTAGGTATTTGGATTCCGATTTAGACGTGGGTGCCTTTATGAATTCGTGGTGAATTCTCTAACAATATAATTAAAAGGTTTCTTCTCTGCGAAGGTCGAAATTTTAACCCATTTTCATGTTCAATTTTTTCGTATTTCCAATGGATGTCAATATTGGAACCCAAAACTGCACTTAAGATCCCATAACTTAGGTATTAGATTCCGATTTAGACGTGGGATGCCTTTATGAATTCGTGGTTGAATTCTCTAACAATATAATAAAAGGTTTCTTCTCTGCGAGGTCGAAATTTTAAACCATTTTATGTCAATTTTTTCGTATTTCCAATGGATTCATATGGATCCCAAAACTGCACTTCAGATCCCATAATCAAAATTTTAACCCCATTTTCTATTCAATTTTCATTTTTTTTCTATTTCCTATGAATGAAACCCAAAACTGCACATCAATATACAGTTTATTCTAAAATTTCGGCAGGCAAATTCGACCCTTAATTATCTTCACATAATTATAATTTAACTCTCAGTCGTCAATAAAGTCTTGATATAAAATTGGCTAGTTTTTGACTACTATGCTACGCTTTAATATATGTCAAAAGCACCAAGTTCTTGTTGCCAACAATTATTTTCTATTTAATGTTTGAAAAGCGGAAATGTTTAATCTATGAATTGGTTTGGGATCTGGTGTCTAGGGTGGGACTACAGACCGCTAATTTAAAATGTCTGGGTCCCAAAGGTGACTCACGGTCAGCAAACAGTAAAACAGATTGCGCTCTAAATTGGATTACACATTTTTATTTATAAATATACGGTCTGATAAATAGCAAAAAATACAAGTGTTCAAGGTGGGAACTTTTGGGCTGTGGCTTCGGCAGGTTAGTTTTGGAACTCCATGTGCCGGATCACTTCTTGTACTCCGCCCAAGAGTAGCGAAAGGAGCGGATCATGTGGATAAGGCTGCAAATACAAATCTGGTAAAAACGACGGGCAGTGTTTCTCGGGCGGACAACACAGAGGCTCTTTGAATGACACAAGGACGGCACAGAGACAATCACCAGACGATGACGTATATACAATAAATCGTTTATTCGTAGGCAGTTCTTGCATAATATAAAATAAATATGTATACAGTTACAAGTAATTTAAAAGTACAAATACAGTTTCATTTCCATAGGTTGTTTTGTTTGCCCTCTCTTGTCATCTTAATAATTCCATTCACACGTTGCAGACACAAGATCTTTAGAAGCTTTAATGAACGCCTCACACAACAAAACAACAAACACAAGGCATGGGGGATGATGGGGGGTGTAGGTGTTCGATTGTTGGACAAAAAACACAAAATGGGCGAAAGCGGGCAAATATATAAATACGTAAAGCGGGTGACAGAATGGGGTCGATCCTTAGTGGCTATAGGGTATGGATTGCAAGTTGCAAGTGGCATGTGAATGTTGCAGGTTGCAGTTTGTATGTGGTTAAGCAGAGCGTGGCCTTTACATGGTGTTATAGGCAGCGGTGTTGAAGCCTGTTTTCGGAGCACTTAGCCTGCTCAGCGGATGCGTCTTTCCATGTTGAGCCAGCCGCCGGATTTGCACCTGCTGCTGCTCCGGCTGTTGTTGCTGCTGCTGGTGGTGTTGCGTGTTGCTGCTGTGACTGGTGCGGATGGGCGCAGGAGGCGGTCGACTATCGCTGTAGTCGTGCGTCGATCGGTTTGATAGCGAGCGGTCGTAGTAGGAGAGCGGGCGTTGCTTGAAGCTAGTGGTGGTGGTGGTGCTGCAGGCGTGGCTGATGTTGCTAACGGCTCCGGCGGGTGGCAGTGGGGCACAGGCGACTGTGGGCGCGGTGGCCGCCTGGCTACTGCAGGAAGTAGTGGTTTGATATTTATGCACTAGACCTTTTACATTACGATCACAATTTTCGCTTACGCTGGAATCGGACGAGTTGGAGGCGGAGGAGTTGGAGTTCGAGGCGGTGGACACGTGGTTGGCATGCTGCGCCACCGGCGAGGATGGCAGTGATTGGTGGCTGGTCGTCTTCTTTACGGGATTCGCTGAGCTGGCTCCAGCCACTCCCGACCCCGTCGGTGAGATGGTTGAACTACTGCCCGCTCCCGCTGCCACTCCACCGCCTCCACCTGCGCCTACCACTCCGGCTTTGGCTTCGAAATTCTGCTTGAGTATTTGCACATTGCCTGAAATACGCTGATCCTCGGCCAGCGTTTGGCCCTGGACGCGCAGCACTACCGTCGCTTCCTGGTCGCCGGGCGTGGTGTTCTTGTTCTCGATGTCGCTGGTGTGCATCAGCTCCTCACTATTGCAACGTATCGGCTGTCGCTGACGCGGACTGTGCGCCGATGAGGCGCTCCTGTAGAGACTCGGGCACCGCTTCTGTCCAGCATCCACCGCCTCGAGTAGCAGCTCCTGGCTGTCTTCCTGGCAGCGCTTCTTCAGAGAGGTACTCTCTTCTAGCTTCTGCTTGGTGCGTTTCACGGTGCCCTCGCCAACTCCAACTCCGGGTTCCACTGCCACGGGGATTCCTTCGATCACATTGCAATTGCCGCTGCGCTTTAGGTCCTGGATAACACCCTCGAAGATCGCCGTCGTATTGCGGTTGCTATCGTAGTAGGAGCCCGAACTGGTCCTTGGCGGCAGACTGCTACGGTTGTCGCCCGATCCCCAGCTGGCGTGCCGCGAAGGTGGCTCCCGTTGTCGGTGCCTCGGGGACGCAGCAGGATGGCGCTTGATTGCTGCTTCTGTTGTTGTGGCGTAGGATCCAGGACGATTCCGCCACTGGGACCGAACGATTCCGTCCAGGAGTGCGTTTTGCGACGCTGTCGCTTTCCCCTTCCTCCTTGGCAAAGACGCTGTCCACCTGAGAGGAAAACACATCCGATGAGCTGGAATCCCTCCGCGGCTGGGTGTTTCCACTGCCGCTGCCACTGCTGCTTCCTCCCAGGTTGGAGTCTGTGTGATCAGCTTGGTCAGCGAGGTCCAGACAGGCTGCGGCGGCAGCTGGTCCGCCCGGTGCGCCTCGAGATCGTGAATCCGCGTGCGCACAGACAGAGGCGTGTGCTTCTGGATGTGCAACACCTGGTTCTGGGTGACGCTATAGTTCTCGCCGTTGCTGCCCGGGAAGCGCATGTTCTTGGGCTCCTCGGCCACGCTACGCTCAGGCGTTAGGTTCTCCATGGACTGGCTCTGCTGCTTGGTCACGACTGCCGTCTGTGTTTTGGGCGAGGTGCTGCTGGAGCGCCGGACCATTCGTCGCTGTGACTTTTGAGTACTGGATCGGCGGTGCAGGCGTGGGCCATCTTCCTCCTCACCATCGGGCGTGACACCGGCTTCGCCAGTAGACTTGGACTTAGCCTGGTTAAGCGCCTGGATGAGGGGAGTCGGTTCGCTGCCCGGCAACAGTCGCGCGTCCTTTGTGCTCTTCAAGTTCGTCTCGCTCTTGCTGCGCTGCAGCTTCTCCTTGTTCTTCATGGCGTCCAACATGCCGTTATACGTCTCCAGCTGATTAAGGAAGTTCTTGTTCGGCTTAATGCAGCTGCGCCGTTTCTTTACGTGCTCTAGCGCCTGTTGGAACTCCCACTGGTAAGCCTTCATGGCATACGCGATGACAACCGAGGCGGACCTACTGACGCCCATCTTGCAGTGCACCAGCACTTTGGAGCCCTCGGCCTTCGCCCGCGTTATGTAGCGGAACGTGTCGTCCCAATACTTGAGCAGGTTCGTCTTCTCGTCGTCGTACACGCGCACGTTGAAATACTCGAAGGTGCCCGGAAAGAAGTTGTCAATCTCCCGTGTCACATTCAGGATGTGGCGAACGCTGAAAGTTTAAGAGAGGGTAAGTTTTTATTGTTTTAAACAATTAATCAATTATTGATATACTCCATTAAAAATAAACTCAATCAAACATACCCGTTTTTCTGCAGCTCCTCAAGGTTGCTAGCGTTCCACTCAGAACCTAGATAGACGTGCTCGAATATCTTGGTGGGGGCATCCATTTGGCCCAGAATAACAAGCATTTCGGCGTCGATAAAAGACTTGTACTCGCCTAAATCCATGTCTAGGATCTCCTCGAGACGTCCGCGTATGTACTTGGAGGTGACCTCGTCCAGGTCCACCGACATCATGATGGCCTTTAGCTTCATCTTAATGACACTTTCGGTTTCCTCCTTTTCGGGGGGTCTGTTAATGGACGAGAACAGATATTAGACAGTGGAATGTCAATCATTTCGAGCACTTACTTGTTTCGTATGGCATCGGGCGAAGGTGGTCGGCGGCTCTCGAGCGCGTCCATGGCATTCCACTCGTTCAGACAGGATTGGTCCGACTCGATGCGCCTCTCGTAGCTGGATAGCCAGTCGTGGGAGGGTCCACTGGCATAAAAGTTGTTCTCACGAGCCTTCTTCGACACTTTGTGCAGCGTCTGTAGCGCGGACCTGTGGAGAAACAGAGGTAGGACTTATGGCGGGAGAAATTTAAACCTGGCAGGGCCACTTACCACATGGCCTGTACTGAGACCGGCTTGAAGATGTGCGTCTTCTCGTACACTTTGACGCTGAAGCCACTGCAAATCCAAGATAAGAGAATTGAGTTAAAGAGTATCGACATACAAATGAGATTCTAAACTTTTGTATCAAAAAATATGAAGTATGGTAATTAAGTCAATTTGTCTAAACATAATAATTATTATAAATTACGGACAAATAAGACGCAAATGTGTAGACCCGAAAATAAGTATGCTTTTTACGACGCCTCCCAATTAGGAAATTGGTCAAGGCCGCAGCGATTAGCTATAGATTAGATGAGGGTAACATTTTTATTTGGGTTTATATATACAAATATCAATGTATATATAACCCAACGTTATGAGAAAATCAAGCCACAGAAACTGAGGTCTTACCCATCGCCATCCAGGTGGATAGTGGTGTCCGCCAGGATGGGAACCACCAGGCCAAGAGTGGTCCGCTCATTGCAGTCGATGCCCAGCAGACAGGACTCCTCCATGCCCGAGGTATTCTTGTTGTCGCCGGCCGCCGTCGCGTTCTCCTTGTCCGCTGATCTATCACATTTGCTGCTGGCCTCCGTGGCGGTCTGCTCGACAGACAGTTGTCGCTGCGTAGTGACCGCCGCGGAGGAGGACGACGTGCTGCCCGCAGATCCACCGACTTTGGCCGAATTGTGACGGATGATCCGGTGCCGCCGACGTTCGCTGGTGGCGCTCCGACAGCAGCTACGCGAGGCGATCACCAGGTAGCGTGTGCGGTTGGACCGCTGCGACTCCAGTTTGACAGCCTGTTGGTGGGAAATGTGGTTATTTGGATAGGCATGCAATATATTATACAACACCCACCATCTTGAGCGTGTCCTCGCGCTGCAACAGGTAGAACATGGACTGCAGATGGAGCTGGATGTCCGAGTTGTTGCTCTGCGTGCTGTTGCTGAGCGGGTGGAGTCGGTGCTCAAGCGGCGCTCACTGTGCTGCTGGGGCGGGATGTCCTTGAGGGCCAGGACCAGGGCGGTCCCCTTGCCGGCAAAGAAGCACTCGCTGCGATCGTTGCCCTTGCTATTGCCCTCGTCGTCCTCGGCCTCGCCATCCTGTGGGTGTGCGAAAAGAGAGTTTCGTTAACTATGTGTCCATATGGGGATAATTCAGTTGCGCCTCACCCAGCGAGGCATGCTAAATACGTTATCATAGGACAAGCTGGCATGCTGAATGATTTTATCCCTAATTATTGTTTGCATTAAAATTCCAAGGGCAGAAATAAAAGCACATCCAAGTGCGCAGTTCAGAAATATATAAATATTTTCTACTTTTGCACGGCTGTGCAATGAACTCTTTACATATATTTTTTTAGACCGATAAATGCAATTGTTTAAAAAGTTCAAAAACAAAGATTTGACATGTTTTGCAAACGCTGCTTTGAGACGATAGGTGAAATAAAATTGATCATCGTGTGATATTAATTTTTCCCTCTGTGCAGGCGGACGTCAAGGTCTCGCGAACTATTTTTGGGCGGTGGGGCGGCGAAGAAAAAAAAAACAAAAACAAGCGGTAAGCGGAAAGCGACAAAAACGACAAATAAGGCAATGCAAAAGTGTGTTGAAAAAATATAGACGTCTCGACGTCTGCGGATTTGCTTGGGTTACACCAAAAGCAGCGCAGCCGATGACGATGACGATGGTGATGATGATGATGATGGCGCCCCCGCACGAAAGCCAAGCCAAAATAAACGTAAGCAACAAGCTGGCGGATAAACGATGATAAACACTGGGCAGGCACACAAAGGATCATATCATGGCCAAAAGCGGAACACGCACGAAAGAGAGCCTTCCTTAATTGGCTCTCCTCACTCGCTCTTTGAAGAGATGGCTAGTCAGGGGGGTGACCAAAACAAAGCGCACACACCACAAGCACACGCACACGCGAGAGCCACTCTCACCGAATTCGAGCAGGAGCCAGCCACACTGGGAGAGCGCTGCACCGTCACCAGCGCCATTTGTTGTTGCCGCCGCTCCTCCTCCTACTCCTCCCCCGCCGACGCCTCTTGCTCCACCTGGCTAAGATGGTGACAATGATGCAGCGGTGTCCTTTGCAATCCTCTCCTGCTTCTGCTTCCGCCTTCTCCTTCTTCCTCTTCTCCTAGTGTGCGAGTGTGCGCGAGACTGACGGTGTGTGTGTGCAGTGTTGTGGGCTCGGGCTACAAATGCATTTTCATGTCGCTGCCTGCTGGCCGTTGTTTTTGCACTCGGCTCCGCGCCCTCGTCCTGCGATCCTCTTGGCCTCCGCTTCCTGGACACTCTGGCCAGTCGGTTCTCTCTTTAAAAAACAGCGTGTCAGACACAGACAATGCTGTTAAATTTAAATAGTAAATAGAAATACACGAATTTTTCTTAAAAGAAAGACAGTGAGGACGCCATTTCTAATCGATAACAGTAGTATCGCCTGGTAATCGTTCTGTCAGGGCTGCACAACTATCGGCGGCGAAGGCGAAGTATCGATTGTTGCACTGGGAAAAAGTTGTGTATCAGCGAAACAGTCTTATTAATGTCTTATAATGTTTTAATATTTATAGCCTGGTTTAAGAGAGGACATAGGCGTTTGTAATTCAATCTAACTATATACAACCGTTTTATATGTTTAAATTGCCCAAGTGTGTCTCGACTGTGGCTTAAATTGATAAATAAAATCAAAAACTTAATAATTGTATTTTCTGCTTTCTTTATCTAAAACTAATGTTTTTATTAAGCCTTAAATATTTAAAAGAGGATATTTTATAACATCCCAAAAATAAATGAATAGCTATCGGTAACTATTCAGTTATCGAATGTGAAATCGGTGCTGGCAGCTTCGACAGCTGTGCAGTGTTGGGAAATAACAGCAAATCGAACAGATGAATGCGAAAATCAGCTGGCCAAACCACAACATAACAAGCGCAGCCTGCAGGTGGATTGGAATTTATAAAAACCGCAAAAAACCAGGAAAATGTCGGCTTTCATCGAGGAAACCAAGAGCCTGCTGCCGCGGATCGCCTTCATAGCCTGCGGCTGCTTCAGTCCACCCACACCCATGCACCTGCGAATGTTCGGTGAGTTAACACAGATTGTGAAATTCCCCGGTACATAATCGATACGATTACGCCGCATGTTTTTGCCCACAGAAATAGCCAGGGACCATTTTGAAATGCAGGGACCCACAGAGTGGTGGGCGGCATCATCTCGCCCACCCACGACTCCTACGGCAAGAAGGGTCTGGCCCCGCCTTGGACCGGTGTGCAATGGTCAAGCTGGCCACGCAGAGCTCCAATGGATCCGGCTTTCCGACTGGGAGGTCACCAGAACCAGTGGATGCGCACGCAGGCGGTGTTGCAGCACCACCAGAACTACATAAATAACCACATAAATTCCGGTGGACCAGGGGGAGATGATGAGCAGGACACCCACCTGGCCGGATGGCTGCCACGGGACTGCACGAAAGTCGGGATCCTGTGCGCCTAAGCTGCTGTGCGGCGGCGACCTGCTGGAGTCCTTTGCTGTTCCAGGCCTTGGGCAGAAGCTGATGTAAGTTCGTATTTTTTTTCATCCGGATTTTTAATTACTTTATTTCCCTAGATTGAGGACATAGTGGCCAACCATGGCCTGGTGGTTATCACTCGCGCCGGCTCCAACCCGGGGAAATTATCTTTGACTCCGACATATTGACCAAATATCAGGTTACAAAGAAGCTACCTCTACAGTTCGGCTCTCCCTTATTAATTAGCCTCATTATTTCAGAACAACATAACGCTAATCACAAACTGGGTGCCCAATGAGGTCAGCTCCTCGTTGATTCGGCGACTTCTGGGACGTGGTCAGTCCGTCAAGTACCTTCTGGACGATCTGGTGTTGGAGTACATCAAGCGCCAACGTTTGTTTAACTTTAAATCGTAGGTGGACTTCCTATTACCTCTCCCTGAAACCCGCATGCCCACTCACCATCACCCATATTTCAAACGATACGTACACTGAATGAGGCGCCACCTTGATCCACTTCACACAGCAGAGATCACTAACTTAACGTGCACCAACAGAAGTCTTTGTATTGTCTCCTTTTGTGTCTCAAACTGCAGGCAGGATGCACCGGCTCCGCCCGAATGCGACTCCTGACGCGTTTTGCACCCGAAAGAGAAGCCCCAGTCGCCCACCCGCTGCCCAAGCCACCAGCACCACCATTCGCACCACTCGCACCACCAGAGGTGGCGCCTTTTCATGGAGCGTGAGTGAACCAGAGCAGACCAGAGTTCAAGTTCCTATTTAGCGCTGATTCCTTTAATGCATGCTTATGTAAATTTGCCCTTTCTTGGCCCTTGTAAATACCCTTGTTAGATTAGTTACTGATATTCCGGTGGTCAGTGTGCGTATCAACTATTTACACCGAACTGTTGCCAAAATGTAGTCCCATTAAACAATAACCTTAACTTTGTTGCTATTGTACTGACCATGCCCGCCTAACCTGTGGATTGTAGTAAGTATATAACGGATGCAGTGCGTCCCAACCATTTGCTCTTTAACCACGCCTACACGGACAACAACCAGAACCGAGCAGCTATTCTGTGAGTGACCAGCTGGAGCAGGACATGGATGAGTCGGACACTCCCAGCCCGCAGCTGAGCACACGGCCACGTCGCGAGTCTTCTGCTGCGGAGAGGCACCTTACGAGGATCCAAGATGCAGCGATCCGGTCCTGGACAAGCGGTGCAAGTCATCACCATGCAGGCGGATGAAAAGAGGAGGTAGGTTTTGTTTTTTGCTTAAATAACCTAGAATCCCAACCTACATTGATATATGGAAATTTAAGATTCTACTAATAGTTTTCCCCCTTTCAGAGTGAAGCGAAGAAGAAGAAGATTTCCCAAGTGGAACTTTAGGAAACTGTAGAAGGAGGACGAATCTCACACGGATCGATACAGGAGCGCTGGAAGCTATATGTTGATACTACATGTGCATGTAAAATAAACTCGTTCGTTACCAAGTTGTCAACTGCCCCCTGATTTTGTGGGTCACTCCACGGAGTGAAGGGACAAGGCATTGAACTTCAGCGCCGACGTGCATTGACATTGCAGCCGTTGCAGGGCTTCGCTTTCGGTGTCCGGTGTCAGAACTTGTTGAGTGGCCACCATTAGTTTATGCTTAGATATACTGCAGTTGCTCGTTTCCCTTGGAAGAGTCCACATCGCGAATGTTCTTCTTCCGTCGTCAGAATGTCAAGCCCGCGCCACGTCCCTCGCGCGCCCCATCCTTTGCGCTGCCCAAGCGGCGTCCTTCTGTCCAGCTGACGCCCTCGCATCAGCACGACCAACTGCCCTTTCTGCGGAGATCCCGATTCAGCGCCCTACCACATTTCCGGGCCTACGAGGACGAGCCTGAGAACCTTCGCTTTTCATCGCCATCCTGTACGTTGTGGATTTGTTCGGCATCTTTCCATTTGTCACGCTGCCCGCTTGATGGTGAAGTTGGGATACTTCGGAATACTGCTGGTGCTGTCCATCATCTTCCTGCAGATCTACACCTCCTTCCTGCTGTCCCAGTGCTGGACCATGGCCGAGATGCTCGATCCCTCCATTCAGCAGAAGCGCAACTATCCGTATGCCGCGCTGGCGGAGCTGGCTTATGGTCCCTATATGAGTCTGCTGGTATCCGTGCTCCTCGACCTGAGTATCTTCGCCATGGCGGTGCCCAGTGTGGTGATGGCCGCCCAGAACCTGGAGGGGGTCGTGCTGCGCATGAGCGCTGGTCAATACAATTTCTCCTACTGCTACTGGGCCATCATAGTCGGCCTGGTCATCTGCCCGCTCATGTGGCTGGGCAGCCCAAGCACATGCGGTAAGATGGTCTTACGGATGGGATTTCCTTCTCAAGATATATGTATATGCTTTAAAAAAGATGTAGTTGCTTTGAAGCCTGCAATTAAATGCTTATCTTATAAGAAGACTGCTTATAAAAGGTGTTCCATCATATTAGAAAAAAACCAAAATACCAAGAATTTATTTATTTTTATAAGCTGTTTATTTAAGGATTGAATTCCTTTATCTGGTAGAGCTTTTTACCTGATATGATCTGTATTTAATTTTATAAATATCTTAGGAGTCTGGCTATCACAGCTGTTTGCGTGATGATCGTTATTGTGGCTCTGCTGTGGTTTTGCCTGTTTGCAGCTCCAGCGATTGGAACTCCATTTGAGGGCATCTCTATGGGTGGGTAATGTGTTTGTGATATACTTCATGAGTTACATTGTTTTGCTTTCCCTAGAATTGCCTGGTTTCCTTGCCATTCTAAACAGCTATAGCATATTGGCCTTCCAGTTTGACATTCACCCTGTACTGCTGACACTTCAGATCGATATGAAGCACAAGTCCCAGGTATCCTGGGCTGCCCTCATCGGAATTGCCAGTGAGTCGTTTAACTTTTTCGATTCCAGGTGGATAATAATGTTGGTTATTCCGCTTAGTAACTTGCAGCGTAGCCATTTTTGGATCCATAATTGCCGCCTACAAATTCGGATCGATGATAGCGAATAACCTGCTGCAATCCTTGCCCACCAGTGTGCCCTTCTACATTATGCTGATCCTGATGTCCCTCCAGCTTTGCTTCTCAGTCACAGTGGCCAGTTCGGCCATGTTCCTGCAGATCGAGAACTATTTCAAGTTGCCGGAGTGTAAGTACAATTATTTTGTATATTAACCTAGACAACGTTGTTACGATAAGGAAGTTGCTCTTCGAGTTATATCTAATCTAATATCTAGAGTACTATTTTTGGACATCAGTAAAAAAATTAAGTTAGTGAACTTAATAGTGAACTATGTAATAATATCTTACCAATAGACAACTTCTTAAACATTCTTTCTTCTTTTGTAGTTAGACTCGATAACTAAAGTTGATGATCACTTTGTTTAAGAATTTCGTTATACTAAGAATAGACTTTTAACGAGTTCCATCATATCTTTTTTGAGTACATTAATCTAATCTAATCCATTAATCTTTAGGTACAAATTAATCTTCTAAGTAAGTCATCTTCTAATCCTCAAATGTATCTTCCTTTATAGCTCTCTCCATCAAACGCATGCTGATACGCTCTTCAGTGCTGGCCTTGGAGGTCCTTGTGGCGGAGTTTGTGCCCAGTTTCGATGCTTTGATGGATGTGGTAGGTGGCACCATAACCGGACCACTGGTCTTTATTCTCCCCCCACTTCTGTACCGTCGTATCCGGCGGATGGAGCGTGTGCATCAGCGGATTGCGGCGGAGGCCAGCTATGGTAGTCTTCCATTGGATCTTAACTACGATCCTGTGGACCTGGAGATGGAGCCCCTGCTGATTACGAGTTCACCGATCTCCCCTCGAGGTTGCTGGCTGAGAATGGTTAGACTCATTCACCGCCTCGAGTGCGATGTCTCCTGCACCATGGCAGTGCTCATCTTCGGCCTGCTGGCCACCTTCCTGTCCACCTACCTGAACATCTTCAGCCTGGCCGATCTGTTCACCAATAACTCGCCCTGTATGAGCAATCTGACCAAGCACTTCTGATGATCATCGGGGTCTTTCCCCTCAATAAAACACACGTAAATATTTAAAACTCTGCCAAGTTTGATTGCCGTCCTTCGGCGGGTTCAAAAACCCAAGTTGCGGCTTCATCTTCATCTTTAATGCAGTGCTAAAGGTGTTTTGTATAACACAACCTACAAATTTAATAAATCTATTATATTACACCAAGACACGCAAGATGTTTCGAGTGTTTTTCGAGTGGCTGTTTAATTAGTTAAGCTTTATTAAAACATCGCCAAAGCCAAACTATTTGTCCGGGAATTGCACACGCGCATCATTTATCATCTTTTTCGGTTGCCCAGTAAATGTTTGCCTTTTAGTTTGCCAAATTTATTTAACCATTCGGTAAGCGTTGTATTTGTTGTTTGTATATTGTTATTTGTTATTTTTTTTTGGTGCCCGCCGTTTTGTTTTTGTTTTCGGTCAGTAATTTGAAACAAGATGAGACCGAGCTTCTACCGGTGGAAAGTAAACACGCTGATAACACCTTTCGCAGCCCTCTTTTGTACCTATTTGTCTCTAAGCATCTATGTATCTTTGTATCTGTATCCATGTATATTGGGCAGAAATGCCGGAGCAGCTTAGCTCAGGGTTTAAATTTAAACACAGAAGAAGAATCTTGGAGATTCTACGCCTGATACGCAAATTTAATTTATTCTTTGGCATCTGCTTACCGCCATGCATGGCATGGCTTTTTTGTTTATATTTTTTTTTTGCTATTTGCGTATTTCTATATAATATACGTAATATGAAGGCATACGATTTTTTCCCGGCATTCATTTCCGTCTTCCATAATACGTTTTTAAGCGCGTTCCATGTTCCATTCGGTCGGGAGATGACTCAAGGCATTGTGTTGATAACCTCCCCATCTAACCATCCAATGCAAAAACCGCACAGCGAACAACTCGAATTATTATTTATTTTTTTCCATTCTCGGTGGTGGTGGTGAGTGATTATTTATTAAAATTAATACCCAATTGTTTGATAGGAACTGTACGGAACCGAACGGAACCAAATACATTCCGTTGTCGCGTCATCAGTCTGGCCACCTGTGGCTGTGCTGCGATCGGGATGCTTTTATTGGCTCGTTATTTTCAGTTGGCCCTTTGATTTTAATGACCAGGCCAAAAGGTACGCACTCAGCTATTCGCCCATTTTAATTGCGACGAACTTAGGGTTTACTACCTTTTGGGGTTTTTTTTTCTTTGCCCCCTTAACTTTTTCAGCCCAACTTGTTTATGCCTCAGCCTGGCCGTTTTTATCTTTTGTTTGCCACATTTCAACATGCAGAAGGTCTCGTTTGGCACGAACTCTGTGTTCCGCGGATGATTCACTGGAGGCTGGAGGCTAATACGAGTACTAAGAGTCTAAAGTATACATAAGTACTCGCCGTACCACTCGGACATGGATCCGTGGAGTTGCCAAGTGCAGCATAAGTCGTGCTAATTGATTATATCGCTGGGCCATTGACAAGCGTTTAGGTAGTTTATAGATTTATTTATTTTGTCTCCATTAACAAATTACACAAACATGCATAATTAATAGTTATTAAATTGAATTGCTCGCACAGGCCACACAAATGGCATTTTTTGACGATCGGTGGAATGTTTTAAGTTCTTAAAAAGTATGCAAATTATGGTAACAAGTATTTAAGAAATAATTGGTAATGGAAACAAGATATTAAAATATCAATTGATTTTATAAAAAAATTCTAAAAATGTAGTAGCTTAGCCAAGAACAATTTTAATATAATTACGAAGTATGCTGACAAAAATCATATTTTATTAGGGTATTATTAATATGACATGAGGGTCGGTAAAAAAAAAGAACCCAAAATCTAAAGTTCTACTTTTTGAGGACGAGAATGCTACTTAGGTT